GGTCAGCCGCTACGACCGCAGCTGCAGCACTCCCGTGAGTGTGGAATTGAGGGTCCTAGGAGTACCAGCCTAAGCAGCGGCTCAGCCAAGAGTAGGCGCGACGTTGGTCCCTGTGAGTACCGGATCCTGACTGGCCCCGGTGTTGGCACTACCTGCTGGAGTCCTGACCACTCTGCGTCCCGCTGCTTCCGTCGCCTTGACCACCTCCACCGTGAGCGTTTTGGTCTAGACGCTGTTACACCTCATTGGCCTTCACGTGTTCGCCAGGGTACTATTGCACCAGTCGAGTCTCACCAACCTGATCTAGGAGCTTTCCTAGCTGCACGAGTAGAATCCTGTGTTTCCAGTCTTGGCGCGTGTGTAGATTCCAGTCCAGGCACCTCTAAGGTTCTTTTTTTGGGAGCTGCAGCTACCACTAGTCCAGTACCAGCCTTGGTCGCTAACTCGGGTGTGACCTCACCGATAGCACAGCCTTTCTTCACCAAATACTGTGGAACGTCCAACTATTTTTCTCGCGACTGCACCAACAATATGCCTCTGTACACTCCAGTCACTGTTGCCTTGGCTGACCCCTCCGTAGGACCTGTACTTGCCCACAGAACCACCACTCTCTTGTGTCCGGCGGTTTCCTCTAGGTTTCTCATAGGTTACTACACCCCCTCGTTCCTCAGGAACCTGGTGGGTGTCAGTCACCTACACGACCTCAGTGTAGCCACTACTTTCCCAGTGGACGAGCTTGTTGCCTCCTGCACAGTCGGTGCCAATGGAGCGCCTCTGGCCACCTTTCTCAGGGAGCCGGGCTCTCGTTTGTACTTCCTCCACACAGGATCCTCTCACACTAGGTCAGGTCAGGTCAGGTAGCTGCTGTGTCGTGCGACTGTCGGTCACTCACCCACCCGTCAGTCCTCTGGCACCACCGTCTAGGTCACTCGTCCTTCCAGCGTCTCAGTAGGATGGTACGTCATCGTCTGGTCTCAGGTCTCCTAGCATCACTTGCCCTGCTTCCCCGCTCGCCTACGCCACTATGCACTCCTTGCGTCGAGGGTCGGCAATGCGCTGTCCCTCACTCCTCCTCGTTCCCCCCCACCACCGCTCCCTCGTCCTCGGTCCTTGGCCCACGTCAGGAGCGCTATTTGTTGATTGTGGTGGACGAATGCTCCCACTATACCACGGTGTTTCCATTGAGACGGAAGGGCGATGTGCCTGGTGTCCTATAGCCGTGGCTACTAGTGAGGGTTGGCGTTCAGTTAATTGTACCCATGGCTACTAGCGATTTTGCCTCCACTCCATTGTCGACATTTATTAAGGCTAAGGGGATCATCCAATCCTACATGCTACAAGCCTTACCACAACAGAATGGGGTAGCTGAGCGACACATCGGTTTGGTCATAGAGGTTGCCCGTTTCTCCCAGTGCCATGCTGGTGGCCCCCGGTTCCAGTGACCCTAGGTCTTCCGCTACGCCACGCACCAGCTGAACTTGTGGCCAAGTGACGCACGGCCACGTGTGACGCCGATCTTCCTTTGGACAGGGTCTTGAGGTGTAGTAGTTGACTACCGAGTCTTGAGCTCCCTGGCTCACGTTCGCGACCCTAGCACGAACAAGATGTCTGCTCGCATGCGTCCCGGTGTCTTCTTGGTTTCCCCCTAGACGCCTCTAGCTGGGTGTATTACGATCCACTCACCTACGAGTTCTTCAGTTCCTAGGACATCACTTTTGACGAGTCAGCATGTTACTACAGGAGTCGTCCCCACCGAGGTTATGAGGCCTTCCCCCCCCCCGCTGTTTCTCACCCTGGTGACACCCCCAGTCGCCCCAGTAGCCCCCCTTGCCTCCCCTCCCTCCCTCCCCCTCTCGTGTCCTGTCCCATCAGGTGTGTCGTACGTCACTCCGCAGTCGTCTGCCCCCCAGCATCAAGTCCCTGTCGTGTCTGGTGGTGCGGGAGGTGCAGGTGTGGAGGATGAGGGTACTGTGGCTGCTGGAGCTGGTGGTCCCGGCTCTGCGGGTGCAGGGGGTGTGGGTGTGGAGGCCCCTCATGTCGAGGACATGGCTGCCTTGAGTAACCGCCCTCGCCCCACCTCACCCCCTGGCTTTCCGTCCGTTTTGCAGCTCGTTCGTCTCTACGGTCGGTCGCTGCGGAGCCTGGGGGTGATCGTGCGGGAGGTACTGGAGGCACTGAGAGGGTCGCTGGTGAAGGTTCTGGTTTCGGGGATGCTGGTGCCGTAGGAGCAGGCACGTTAGAGCCTACACTGCGCGTTGTACACTTTGAGGCCCGTGTGCAGCGTCTTCTCCGGTTGGAGAGAGAGGAGCAAGAGAGGTTCGAGAGGGAATGCCAGCAGCAGCAGCAGCAGCAGGAGCACTCCCATTCGCAAAGTCAGTAGAGAGTAGAGGAGGAGCCACAGCCACAGCAGTAGGTACAGTTGCAGACACAGCAGGAGAGAGTAGAGGAGGAGTCGCGCTTGCAGCAGCTAGTGCACTTAGCCGCAGCAGGAGAGAGCAGAGGAGGAGTCATGACCGCAGCACCAGGTGCACTTGCAGTCGCAGCAGGAGAGAGTTGAGGAGAAGTCACGACAGCAATAGCAGGTGCAGTTACACCCGCAACAGGAGAGGGTAGAGCGGGATTCCCGGTAGTAGCAGCAGCAGCAGCAGCAGCATGTGTAGCTGCAGTCCAAGGATGAGAGGCCAGAGGAGGAGACGTACGCGGTGCCACAGGAGCGGTTGCAGAGGCAGGTGCCGTCGCAGCAGACGCCAGAGGAGGCGGAGCTGCAGCGACTGCACGACCTGCCCGACCCAGCACCTGCACAATTACAGTGGTCCCCTACCGTCCCCTCCTGTTCCCCTTGACCAGTCCCTTTCCTCGTCCTTGTGGACTTGTCGTTCCCCCCTCAATCGTGCTGTGTCTTCCAAGCCCCATCGGTCTCATTACTGTGCAGACGGCCCGATTCACCTTGTTCTCCGCTCTCGTGTTCCACCTCCCCCGAACCTTCCACAGCCTCCTCACTCGTCCTTCACTGTATTTCACGACCCATTTTCCGACTACCTTCGTGCCTCTCGGCCTGTCGTCTCCTGTGTTTAGTCTACGTTGGTCACTCACCTGACTGCCCTGCCACTGTCTGTCTTGGCCCTTTTCACTACTACAGTGCCTTTGCCTCTTCCCACCGCCTTGACTATGCTGCTCACTTGGTGAGTGGCACTGCTCGTTCTCCATCCTTGGGGGGTGTTCCGGTCTTTCCCGTGGAGGTCCCCGAGGACAGACAATTTGAGCTTGTTTTCCCGGCGGCCGCTGTTCCCCATCTCTGCGCCATGCTGCTTGCCCCTGAGGGGGATCCAGACGCCCTTGACATCTAGATCATTTGGACTCACACTGAGGCTGTCTTGGGACCTTGGGCTTTGTACTGTATAGCAGCAAAGGATGCAGAGATGGCATCTTATAGGTCTACAGGCACCTACGTCGTCACCCGCCCCACCATATGGAACGAACGTCGTTAGTAGCATGTGGCTTTACAAGGTGAAGCGGCCGCCTGGATCACCACCACAGCTCAAGGCGTGCTATTTAGTGAGAGGCTTCAGTCAGCGCGAGGGAGTAGACTTCTTCTAGATCTTCGCTCCCACCTCCCAGGTGCAGGTACACCCCTTCTGCGCGAGTTGTAGTAGCATGGCTATTCCCGCGTGGTTCGTGTGGTCTTTGAGGCCAATACTGCAGATATCTTCACCAAGGCATTGCTGCCTTATGTCCACCAGGGTTTCTGCACCTAGTCGGGGCTTGTAACTAAAGGCCCTGACTTGCTTATATGGAGATGCTTTGCATTGTAGTCTTGCATCTCTCTATATCTGCTAAATATATCTACTTGTAGATTCGCCCCGCGGCCCCTTACTTCTTGTACTCTTCCATCTTATATATTTGATATGTCATTGCATGTGGACTGGCCCTGTGGCCCCTTGCTTGTTCTTGAACTGTGTGGTGATCTTGAGATCCACCCCGAGATTTGTTGTGTTCTTCCAAACTGGTCTTGTGACCATTGCTTGTTCTTGCTAACTGGTCATGTGACCCTTGCTATGTGTTGCTTTCCACAAGACTACCGTCACCTAGACTATGGGAGTGTGTCAAGCTATATTTGTTAGAGCTTGTATTTGTTATTCTAGGTGTACTTTCTCTTCCTCAGGGTGAGGGTTAGGTTTCCTTTATCCTGCTTGTTTGTTCTTTCCTTAGCCAATTCATTCAGTTACAACGTTGACAGAACTTTACTGGCGTGGTCAACCAAAGGGTTCGTCGACATGCATTGGGTGTTGGTCCATGAGAGAGTTCGTCGACCTATGCAATTGTCTACTTGGTAAAGTTAGTAGGTGAATGTTGACCTAGGAGATGATGTGCACGTGCAACTGTTAGTGGTATTATAGTCACAATAGGCTCCAATGTGCCTAAAACGAAACATGGAGTGCACAGTCCGATTTCTGCACAGCGGCTTTAAACATTCATAGCGTTCTCGCTACACCCCTAAATGATCTGATTCACATTGGATCTGGAGCAATGTGAACTCCCCTACAATAGGCAATTTAGATTGCACGATTTCATTAAATAATGACGACGCAACGCCAGTTTGAACGAACGGCACTATGGCAGCCACTATAGTCTTAGAACATAAATTAGGAATTGGGAATAACTCCCAGCTCCTACAAACCCCAAGAGCTGAGGTACACTAATGTGGAACAGTGCCACATTGTCCCCAACCACGAAGGGTCTCGAAAGTAGGGAAAATAGGTCACAAGTAACCAACATGGGACTCGATAACAAGAATGGTACAAAAATAACGCGTACGGTCACTGTATCGGGTTTGCTGACGGGTTTGGTAAGTGGGGTCGCGGATTCAGTCACTAACAACAGGCGAAAAATCACGCGAATGGTCACACATGTAACTCCCGCCAAATTGTTTTGAAACTCTTCGTGCTAGTGCTCAACCAATAAGCTAACTTCAAAAAAATCTAATACCTAAACGGAATTGGATGCAATTTGGGAACGGATTGTTAGAACATTATAGCTTATACATTTGTGTAGGCTGTAGTGGGGTAGCCCATAAGGGGCACAATCCAATTAGGGTTAGTACTTGTACCCAACTGTTTCATAGTTCAATCATTCTCGTTTCAGTTTTCTCATGGAATCAGAGCAGGTTCCCTAGTGGGAACTGTGCCTAGGGCCCACCAAGTCGATATTTTTTTTCCTGCCCGGAGCGCACTAAGCCCGAGTCGCGCTCCTCTCTCTCACCTCGTCGAGCCGCCCTAGCGATTGCATCGAGCCGCCCTAGCGGCCCTGTCGTCCTAGCGGCCCCACCGCCCTTCACTGCGGCCCCGCCGCCCTTCACTGCGGCCCCGTAGCCCTTCGCTGCGGCCCCGCCGCCCTATTCTGCGGCCCCGCCGCCCTTCTCTGCGGCCCCGCCGCCCTTCGCTGCGGCCCCGCCGCCCTACTCTGCGGCCCCGCCGCCCTTCACTGCGGCCCCGCTGCCCTTCGCTGCGGCCCCGCCGCCCTTCACTGCGGCCCCGCCGCCCTTCGCTGCGGCCCCGCCGCCCTACTCTGCAGCCCCGCCGCCCTTCGCTGCAGCCCCGCCGCCTCTTTCGCTGCGGCCGCGCCGCCTACCTTGCGGCCCCGCCGCCCTTCGCTGCGGCCCCACCACCCCTCTCACTGCGGCCCCGCCGCCCTTCGCTGCGGCCCCGCCGCCCCTCTCGCTGCGGCCCCGCCGCCTACCTTGCGGCCCCGCCGCCCTTCGCTGCGGCCCCGCCGCCCCTCTCGCTGCGGCCCCGCCGCCTCTCACTGCGGCCCCGCCGCCCTACCAGCAGCCGTGCCGCCCTACCAGCGGCCCTGCCGCCCTACGCCACCGAGCCGCCCGCACCGCCAAGTAGCCCGAGCCGCCCGTTCTGCCCGAGCCGCCCGTTGTGCCCGAGCCGCCCGAGCCGCCCGAGCCGCCTGAGCCGCTGAGGAGCCGAGCCGCTGGTGCCGCAGAGCCTCAGTTGCTACTGAGCAGTCCGAGTCGCCCGAGCCGCCGTGTTGCCGAGCTGCAATGCTGCTGAGCTGCCCGAACCGCCCTGTCTGCTGAGAGCAGCGCTTCTGTCACTGCACTGCCCCTGTCCTACAGTTAGTGCCGCTAGTCTACTGCTGTCATGGCTACCCCCAGTGTTCTCGCTTTTGACGCTGAGGGTCGGGCCATTGACTTTGAGGTCTGGGTAGATGACCTGTAGCTTTTCCTTCAGTGCGATAGGGCAGACGGTCTCTCCCTCTTTGACCTCACCTGTGGCGCCTCCCCTGCCCCTGCTGCAGACACTGACGCCAATGTTCGTTCCCAAAGGGCCACCCGCGACGCTGCTGCACGTCTTGCTGTGCGTCGCCACCTCCCTACCTCTGAGCGTGCGCACTTTAGTCAGTACAAGAGTGCTCAGACCTTGTAAGACGCTGTACTTGCGCGCTACTCCTCCCCTGCCACTGCTGCACTGAGCCGTTTCATACTACCATACCTCTTCCCTGACCTTACTGCCTTTCCCACAGTCGCTGACCTCATTATGCACCTACGCACTAGTGACACTCGCTACCGCGCTGCGCAACCTGCTGACTTCTGCGCCAAGAACCCCCCCCCCCCCCCCCATGTACATCACTCTCTACTACATCGTCACTCGCCTCCCTGAGTCCCTTCGCGTAGTCAGGGACCACTTTCACTGTTGACCTCCTCGAGAAGTCCCTCCTAGCGGCAGAGAAGAGCATAGTCGCTGTACGGGCCTCTCGTGGTGACCCGCGCACCCCCATCTTTGAGGGGTGTTCCCCCTCCCCCCTTCTTCCCTCTGTTGCCTCTGCTGCTGCGGCCAACCTCCTTGGTCTTGAGTCGGTCGGTGCGGCGTCTGCCCCTAGCGGGAGACGCCGCTCTGGCAAGGGCAAGGGGGGCAGGGGCACTGGAGGGGCGAGCGGGGGCGGTGGAGGTGGAGGTGGAGGCGGCGGGGGGAGTGGGGGTGGCGGTGGGAGTGGTGGTGGGGGTGGAGGTGTCGGTGGCAGCAGTGGAGGCGGAGGCGGCCGCGGCGGTGGCCGTGGGAGCGGAGGTGGGGGAGGTGGCGGCGGTGGAGGAGGAGGCGGAGACGGCGGTAGTAGCGGAGGCGGCGGAGGCGGCGAGGGTGGCGGTGGAGCTGGTCGCGGGTCTACGTAGAGGAGTGGCTCTGGTGGTGGTCCGCGCCAGCAGCAGCAGCGCGGTCGTGAGACCCTGTCACCTCAGCAGCTCCGTGAGTGGTACACTGCACGCCAGCGGGGTGGGGGTTTTGGTCCGTGCACCTACGTCCTGCGCACCGGCGACCGTGCGGGTGAGCAGTGTGGGGGTGCGCACCCCACTCAGCGCTGCTTTGGTCACCTGACGGACGCGTGGCGTCACCAGTTCCCGGAGGCCACAGAGATCCCTCGCTGGGGCGAGCTGTCTAGGGCGGGCGTTGCCATGTATGCTCTTGATTTTGATGCTATCCTTTCTGTCATGTATGCTGTGTCTATTAGTGATGAGGGTGACTATTACCGGTGTTTCCCGCCCGATCCGGGCATTGAGACTGCTGCTCTAGGTACTGGTGAGGCGGCTGCCCTAGGTGCTTGCGACGCTGCTGCTCTAGGTGCTCGTGCGTCTGCGTCCTCAGGTACTGGTGAGTCTGCGCTCTCAGGTACTACGTCGGCTTCGGCCTCCCTCACCTTCACCCTTGACTCTGGGGCTTCTCGCTCCTTCTTTCGAGACCGCACCACACTCACGCCGCTTAGTCGGCCGGTTGAGGTGTCTCTGGCTGACCCCTCTGGGGGTCATGTCCTGTCTCACTTCTCCACAGTCCTCCCGTTTCCGGCGGCTCCCTCTGGCACCCTGTCTGGTCTCTACCTCCCCTCGCTCTCTACGAACCTGGTAAGTGGTGTTGACCTACAGGATGGGGGAGTACACCAGTTCACTCCTGCGCGTCAGCGAGTGACGCACTGCACAGAGGCTAGCACAGGCCGACACCTGGCTACGTTTACCCGTCGGCTGGGGCAGAGCCTTTACACACTGACCACTCCGTCTCCTCCGGCTGTTGAGTCTGGTAGGGTCACTTCGTCGGGTCAGGTGCTTGCTGCAGCGTCCAGGTCTGGTCCTGAGTCTGCCCCCTGTTCGTGTCGTCTCCTGTCTCACGAGACTCTCCTCTGGCACCACCGCCTTGGTCACCCCTCTCTGCTTCGTCTCAGAGGCATGGCCTCCCGTCTTCTTGTTTCTGGTCTCCCTCGGTCCCTCCCTCCCCTTCCTCAGGGCCCTGGCCCTACCTGTGTCCCCTGTGTCGAGGGGCGGCAGCGGGCTGCCCCTCACTCCTCCCAGTTTCCTCCGACAGAGGCCCCGTTGCAGACGCTTCACATGGACGTGTGGGGCCCAGCCCGCGTCCGTGGACAGGGTCACGAGCTCTACTTCCTGCTTGTTGTTGACGACTACTCGCGTTACACCACAGTCTTCCCCTTGCGCAGCAAGAGTGATGTCACTGAGGTGTTGATCGACTGGATCCGCGCAGCTCGTCTCCAGCTCAGGCAGAGCTTTGGCTCGGACTTTCCTGTTCTGCGTCTGCACTCGGACAGAGGCGGAGAGTTTTCTTCTTGCCTTCTGAGAGCCTACTGTCGCGCACGAGGAATCCGTTAGACCTTCACACTTTCGGACTCCCCGCAGCAAAATGGGATTGCTGAGCGCCGCATTGGCATGGTCATGGACGTCGCTCGTACGTCTATGATGCATGCGGCTGCTCCCCATTTTCTGTGGCCGTTTGCGGTGAGGTACGCGGCGCATCAGATCAACCTACACCCCAGGGTCTCCAGGCCGGAGACCTCCCCAGCCTTGCTGTGGACGGGGAAGGTTGGCGATGCGTCGGCGTTCCGGGTCTGGGGATCTCGGGCGTTTGTCCGCGACTTGTCTGCAGAAAAGCTGTCCCCTCATGCTGCTCCTTGCGTCTTCCTGGGGTTCCCCCCTGACGCGCCGGGGTGGCAGTTCTACCACCCCCACCTCTCGCCGTGTTCTGTCCTCCCAAGACGTCACGTTTGACGAGTCGGTCCCCTACTACCGCCTCTTCCCCTACCGCACTCCGTCCCTCCCCCCGCCGCCGCTCTTCCTTGTACCAGGTCCCCCTCCGGTAGACCCCCTCCCCCCCCAGGGTCCGTCCCCTTCAAGTGTGTCCCAGGTAGACGCAGTCGAGCCTGTCGAGGTCACTGGTGACTCTGGTGCTGCTGAGGGTGCTGAGCCTGGGGGTGCTGCGACTGGGGGTGCTGAGCGTGAGGGTGTTGAGCCTAGGGGTGCTGCGACTGGGGGTGCTGAGCCTGGGGGTGCTGAGCCTAAGGGTGCTGAGCCTGGGGGTGCTGAGTCTAAGGGTACTGCGCCTAGGGGTGCTGAGCCTGGGGGTGCTGAGCCTGGGGGTGCTGAGCCTGGGGGTGCTGAGCTTGGAGGTGCTCCGCCTGGGGGTTCTCCGGGTGCTTCGTCTCTGCGGGCGCCACTCTCTCCACGGGAGCTGCGCGAGTGGTTTGCCCGGCGCTAGAGGCGTGCTGCTGGTGGTGGAGGTTCTTCGGCTACTGAGGGTGCTGCTGTCGCGGGTCCCGGAGGTGCTCGTACTGGGAGTACTGGAGCTTCTGGTACTGATGGAGGTTCTGGCGCTACTGGAGGTGCAGCTGGAGCGGATGCTCCTGCTGGGGGTGCTGGTGCTGTCCCTGCTGTATCTAGCGTCGCCGCGCGGCCTCGACCGTACTTCGTTCCACTCCTGCAGCAGGTTCTTGGTCTTCCGCCTTCTAGTGGTCCTCCTCCTTCTTTAGCGTGTCCAAAGCCAGTCCCGTCACAGTTACAGTTGCAGCCTACCTCCTCTTTGCCTGCTCCTTCTCCCTACACTGGTCCTACTGGAGGTCTTACTGAGCGTCGTAAGCCTGCGTCTCGCCCTGCGTCACCTGTCTGTGCTGCTCGCGCTTGTGGTCGTGGTTCGCGTCAGCGTCCTCCTCCTGACCCTGGCACGCACAGGATGTCTCTGCGTCCGTCCACTACTCCTCTGCGTGCCCCTTTGCCTTGTCCTCATGCGTCCTCTCTTCCTGCTTTTGCCGACCCGGAGTCGGACTCTCTTTGTGCTGCCAGTCCTACTGTCACGCGTCTCCTGGCTACTGTCGTCACTGACCCTTCCTTCGAGTCCACTGCTGCGTCTGCCTTAGTTGCTGAGCTCGTCGACTTTGCTGCTCGCTGTCGCCTAGACTACGCTGCTAGTCTTGTCGCTGAGTCTGAGTCTGTCTGTCTTCCGTCAGTCGAGGGTGAGTGTGCCCTTGGCATGGACGTCCTTGAGGACAGGCAGGAGGAGTTCCAGTGCTTGGCAGCTGCTTCACCTCATCTCGTGTCCGTACTGCTTACCCCTGAGGGAGACCCGGATGCACTTGATATCCCGACTCCGCGCTCTTACGCGGAGGCGATAGAGGGTCCCTACTCCTCTCAGTGGCAGGCAGCTATGGATGCAGAGATGGCTTCCTGGAAGTCCACAGGCACCTACGTTGATGCTGTCCCCCCTCCTGGGGCGAACATTGTCAGTGGCATGTGGATCTTCAGGGTGAAGCGGCTGCCGGGTTCTCCGCCTGTCTTCAAGGCGCGTTATGTGGCTCGTGGCTTCAGTCAGCGGCAGGGAGTGGACTACTTTCAGACCTTCTCTCCCACCCCGAAGATGACCACTCTTCGAGTACTGCTGCACGTTGCTGCTCACCGTGACTACGAGCTGCACTCTCTTGACTTCAGCACAGCTTTCTTGCAGGGCAGCCTGCACGAGGAGATCTGGCTGCGCCGCCCACCTGGCTTCACTGGGTCTTTCCCTCCTGGTACCCAGTGGAGTCTCCGGCGTCCAGTCTACGGTCTCCGCCAGGCGCCACTTGAGTGGCACGACACACTGAGGACTACGCTTGCGGCTCTTGGGTTTGCTCCTTCTACTGCCGACCCGTCGCTGTTTCTGCGCACCGACACCTCTCTGCCGCCGTTCTACATCCTCGTGTACGTCGACGACTTGGTCTTTGCCACAGCTGACACTGCTGGACTCGCCTACGTGAAGTCCGAGCTGCAGAAGAGACACACGTGCACAGACCTGGGTGAACTGCGCAGCTACCTTGGCTTGCAGATCACCCGGGACAGAGCACAGCGCACCATAACTCTGACTCCGTCACACATGGTGTAGCTGGTCCTTCAGCGCTTCGGCTTCACGTACTCCTCGCCTCAGGCCACTCCTCTGCCTACTCGCCACTCGCTCTCAGCTCTGCCTTCGGATGAGTCCGTAGAGTCGAGTGGCCCGTATCCAGAGCTTGTTGGCTGCCTCATGTACCTGATGACCTGCACACGACCTGACCTTGCATACCCTCTTAGCATTCTTGCACGCTATGTTGCTCCTGGTAGACACCGACCAGAGCACATGGCTGCAGCGAAGAGGGTGTTGCGCTACTTGTGCAGTACGTCGGGCATGGGGCTAGTGCTTGGAGGGCGGAGTCCAGTGGTCCTCACTGGGCACGCGGACGCTTCTTGGGCTGACGACCAGGCTACGCAGCGGTCGTCACAGGGCTACACCTTCAGCCTTGGTTCCGGCTCTGTTTCGTGGCGGGCTACTTGCTCGTCTTCTGTTCTCGGCTCCAGTTGTGAGGCTGAGATCTACGCCGGGGCCATGGCTGCACAGGAGCTTCGCTGGCTCACCTACCTGCTGACCGACCTTGGAGAGTCGCCTCGTTCTCCTCGAGTCCTGTACGTAGACAACAAGGCCATGCTGGCCTTGTGTCGAGAGCAGAGACTGGAGCACAGAACGAAGCACATTGCTCTTCGCTACTTTCTTGCTCGTGAGCTACAGCAGCGTGGTCAGTTGCGGCTTGCGTACGTGGCCTCTGAGGCCAACACTGCTGATGTCTTCACCAAGGCAGTTGCGCCTTGTGATCATCAGCGATTCTGCTCGCAGCTGGGTCTTGTGCCTGTCTTGCCTCACTTGCTCACCTCTTGACCTTGCTTGTACTGTTGCATATATATACACCTACTCTTGCTTGTCTAGTCCTTTATATATATGTACTCTTGCATGTGAACTGGCCTTGTGGCCTTGAACTTGTGCTCGGAATGTGTGGTGACTTTGTGATCCACCCTGAGCTTGCTTTGCTTTGCTTTGCTTGAGTGGTCTTGTGACCCCTTGTTCTCCCCCACTTTGCCTATGGGGATGTGTTAGAACATTATAGCTTATACATTTGTGTAGGCTGTAGTGGGGTAGCCCATATGGGTTACAACCCAATTAGGGTTAGTACTTGTACCCAACTGTTTCATAGTTCAATCATTCTCGTTTCAGTTTTCTCACGGATCAACCCTAAACATCTGGCAAGTTGTATTTAGGGTTGATTTTCCGAAAACGCAATCAGGTTTGTTCTGGGTATTATATTTTTTGGGCGGGAGTTTCATCTGTGACCATTTGCGTTATTTTTTTCCAGTTGATTATGAATGATTCCATGAAAGGTTTTATCAAACACGTGAAAACACCCTGTGCTGTGATCGTACCCGTTATTTTTTTACCAAACATATTATCGAGACCCTTGTTGATCACGAGTGGCATATTTACCCCTCGAAAGTACCATTCATAAGGGCCTACACTAAGTGAAATGTTGCACTGCACAAAGTAATGTAACTATCTTCAATATCGTGAGGTGCACCCATTTCACGGGCTTCGCGATCACTTGAATCTTGAAATGAAGGCTCTGGTTCTTCATCATAAACTCATCCTTGAGTTCTTTGTACCAAAAATATGCGTAATTAACGCACATATTCTTGGTACCAACCATGCGGGTAAGTAACGCACATATTCTTGGTACCAACCAAATGGGTACTTACCGTGCTTACGATTTGTAACAAACACATGGACGAGTATCGCACTTATTCTAGGTACCAACCACAAGGGTAAGCAACGCATTTGTACTCTCTGTACCAACCATATGGATAAGTAACGCATTTACTTCTACTACCAACCATATGGGTAAGTAACGCACCTACTTTTCATACCAACCATATTGGTAAAAAACGCTCTTGGTACCAACCATATGGACATGTAACGCACCTAATCTTGGTACCAAACATATGTGTAAATAATGCACATTTTTTTCGTACCAACCATATTGGTAAGTAACGCACCTACTTAAGGTACCAACCAGATAGGTAAGTAACGCACTTACTCCTGGTACTAGCCATATGGGTAAGTAACGCATTCTCTCTAGTGGGAACCATATGGGTAAGTAACGCACATTATTTTTTGTTCCAACCATATCGTTAAATAACGTAATTATTGTTGGTGCCAACCGTATGGGTAAGTAGTGTACTTACTCTTAGTACCAATCATATGGGTGAATAATTCCCGTACTACTAGTACCAACTATATAGGTATGTAACGCACTTATTTTGGGTACCAACCATATTGGTATGTAAGCACTTACTTTTTGTACCATCATTATGGGTAAGTAATTCATTCTCTCTTTGTACCAACCATACGCATTTTGATTTTCGTTCCAACCATATTGGTAAGTAACGTAGTTATTCTTGGTACCAGCCGTATGTGTAAGTAGCATACTTAATCATGGTACCATTCATATAAGTGAATAACTCCCGTACTCTTGGTACCAACTATATAGGTAAGTAACGCACTTGTTTTTCGTACCAACCATATTGACATGTAGAGCACTTACTATTGGTACCATCCTTATAGTTAAGTAACGCGCTCCCTCTTTGTACCAACCGTATGGGTAATTATCGCATATACTCTTGGTACCAACCATATGGGTAAGTAACGCATTTTTTTTTCCGTTCCAACCGTATTGGTACGTAACGCATTTATTCTTGGTACCAACCGTATGGGTAAGTAGCGTACTTACTCTTGGTACTAATCATATGGATACGTAGCGCATTCACTATTCGTACCAACCGTATGGGTAAGTAACGCACCTACTCTTGGTACCAATCATATGTGTAAGTAACGCACCTACCCTTGGTACCAATCATAAGGGTAAGTAAAGCATTCACTCTTCGTACCAACCACATGGTTAAATAACGCAGCTGCTCTTGGTACCAACCATATGGGTAAGTAACTCATTTGTTTTTGAGAAAATGAGAACGAGAATGAATGACTAAGGAATGAAAGTGATACAAGTATGCAACCCTAGCATTGTGTACCCCATATAGGCTACCCCACTACAGCCTACTCAACATTATAATTTGACACACCCCCATAGGCAAAGTGGGGGAGAACAAGGGGTCACAAGACCAGTCAGGCAAAGCAGACAAAGCTCAGGGTGGATCACAACATCACCATACAGTCCGAGCACAAGGTAAAGGCCACAAGGCCAGTTCACATGCAGGAGTACACATATATATATAAGGCTAAACAAGCAAGAGCAGGTATATATATATATGTAAGAGTACAAGTAAGGTCAAGGGGTGAGCAAGTGAGGCAAGACAAGCACAAGACCCACCTGAGTGCAGAAGCGCTGATGATCACAAGGCGGAAGTGCCTTGGTGAAAACATCAGCAGTGTTGGCCTCAGAGGCCACGTACGCAAGTCGCAACTGACCACGCTGCAGCAACTCACGAGCAAGAAAGTAGCGGAGAGCAATGTGCTTCGTTCTGTGCTCCACGCGCTGCTCCCGACACAAGGCTAGCATGGCCTTGTTGTCTACGTACAGGACTGGAGGAGAACGAGGCGGCTCTCCGAGGTCAGTCAGCAGGTAGGTAAGCCAGCGAAGTTCGTGTGCAGCCATGGCCCCGGCGTAGATCTCAGCCTCACAACTGGAGCCGAGAACAGAAGACGAGCGAGTAGCCCGCCACGAAACAGAGCCGGAACCAAGGCTGAAGGTGTAACCCTGTGACGACCGCTGCGTAGCCTGGTCGTCTTCCCAAGAAGCGTCCGCGTGCCCAGTGAGGACCACTGGACTCCGCCCTCCAAGCACTAGCCCCATGCCCGACGTACTGCACAAGTAGCGCAACACCCTCTTCGCTGCAGCCATGTGCTCTGGTCGGTGTCTCCCAGGAGAAACATAGCGTGCAAGAATGCTAAGAGGGTATGCAAGGTCAGGTCGTGTGCAGGTCATCAGGTATATGAGGCAGCCAACAAGCTCTGGGTACGGGCCACTCGACTCTACGGACTCATCCGAAGGCAGAGCTGAGAGCGAGTGGCGAGTAGACAGAGGAGTGGCCTGAGGCGAGGAGTACGTGAAGCCGAAGCGCTGAAGGACCTGCTGCACCATGTGTGACTGAGTCAGGGTAATGGTGCGGCGTGCTCTGTCCCGGGTGATCTGCAAGCCAAGGTAGCTGCGCAGTTCACCCAGGTCTGTGCACGTGTGTCTCTTCTGCAGCTTGGACTTCACGTGGGCGAGTCCAGCAGTGTCAACTATGGCAAAGACCAAGTCGTCGGCGTACACGAGGATGTAGAACGGCGGCAGAGAGGTGTCGGTGCGTAGAAACAGTGACGGGTCAGCTGTAGAGGGAGCAAACCCAAGAGCCGCAAGTGTAGTCCTCAGTGTGTCGTGCCACTCGCGCGGTGCCTGGGGGAGACCGTAGACTGGCCGTCGGAGGCTCCACTGGGTGCCAGGAGGGAAAGTCCCAGTGAAGCCAGGTGGACGGCGCAACCAGATCTTCTCGTGCATGCTACCCTGCAGGAAAGCAGTGCTGAAGTCAAGGGAATGAAGCTCGTAGTCACGCTGAGCGGCTACGTGTAGGTGCCTGTGGACTTCCAGGAAGCCATCTCTGCATCCATAGCTGCCTGCCACTGAGAGGAGTAGGGACCCTCTACGGCCTCCCCGTAAGAGCGCGGAGTCAATATGTCTAATGCATAAGGGTCTCCCTCAGGGGTAAGCAGTACGGACGCGAGATGAGGTGAAGCAGCAGCCAGACACTGGAACTCCTCCTGCCTCTCCTCAAGGACGTCCATGCTAAGAGCACACTCACCCCCGACGGACGGAGGACAGACACACGCAGACTCAGCAACAAGACTAGCAGCGTAGGCTAGACGACAGCGAGCAGCAAAGTCGACGAGCTCAGCAACAAGAGCAGACGCAGCAGTGGACTCAAAAGAGGGGTCAGTGACGACAGTAGCAAGGAGACGCGTGACAGTAGGACTGGCAGCACGAAGAGAGTCCGACTCAGGGTCGACAAGCACAGGAAGAGAGGACGAAGGAGGAGAGGGCAAAGGGGCATGCAGAGGAGCAGTGGACGGACGCAGAGACATCCGGTGCGTGCCAGGGACAGCAGGAGGACGCTGATGCGAACTGCGACCACTAGTACGAGCAGCACGAACAGGCGACGCAGGACGAGACGCAGGCTCACGACGCTCAGCAAGACCTCCAGTAGGACCAGTGTACGGAGAAGGAGAGGGCAGTGGGGAGGCCGGCGGTAACTATGACTGCGACTGGACAGGCGGTGGACACTCTAAGGGAGGAGGAAGACCAAGAACCAGCTGAAGGAGCGGAACAAAGTACGGCCGAGGCCGCGCGACGACTCCAGACACAGCAGGGACAGCACCAGCACCCCCAGCGGCAGCACCAGCGTCAGCAGCACCTCCAGCTCCAGTACCTCCAGCAGCACCAGTAGCACCTGCAGCAGGACCGCCGCGAGGACTGACAGAAGTAGCCTCAGCGCCAACACCCTCAGCAGCTCCGACTCCACTAGCACTCGAAGGACTAGCACCTCCGAGACCGGCGGCACCAGCACCCTCAGCAGCCGAAGAAGCACCAGCTCCAGTAGTAGGCCTCCAGCGCCGGGCAAACCACTCGCGCAGCCCCTGTGGAGAGAGTGGCTCCCGCCGAGACGAGGCACCCAGATAACCAGCAGGCCCAGCACCGCCAGACGCCACCCGAGCAGGTCCAGCGGCCGCGGGCTCCGCACCCCCAGGCTCAGTAGCTCCAGACTCAGCACCCCCGGGCTCAGCAGCTCCAGACGCAGCACCCCCAGGCGAAGGACCCCCAGGCTCAGCACCCCCAGTCGTAGCACCCCCAGGCTCAGCACCCCAAGTCGTAGCACCCCCAGGCTCAGCACCCCCAGGCTCAGCACCCCCAGTCGCAGCATCCCCAGACGCAGCACCTCCAGGCTCAGCACCTACGCGCGCAGCACCCCCAGAGTCAGCACCCCCAGGCTCAGCACCTGCAGCAGTACCAGAGTCACCAGCAACCTCGACCGGCTCAACTGCATCTACCTGGGACACACGTGAAGGGGCAGGACCCTGAGGGGGGAGGGGGTCTACCGGGGGGGGACCTGGCACAATGAAGTGCGGTGGCGGGGGGAGGGAAGGAGTGCGGTAGGGGAAGAGGCGGTAGTAGGGTACTGACTCGTCGAACGTGACGTCCTGGGAGGACAGAACACGACGAGAGGTGGGGTGGTAGAACTGCCACCCAGGGGCGTCAGGGGGGAAGCCAAGGAAGACACAGGGAGCAGCACGAGGGGACAGCTTGTCCGCAGACAAGTCGCGGACAAACGCCCGAGATCCCCAGACACGGAACGCAGACGCATCGCCGACCTTCCCCGTCCACAGCAAGGCTGGGGAGGTCTCCGGTCTGGAGACCCTGGGGTGAAGGTTGATGTGATGCGCCGCGTACCGAACCGCAAACGGCCACAGAAAATGGGGGGCAGCCGCATGCATCATAGACGTACGAGCGACGTCCATGACCATGCCAATGCGGCGCTCAGCAATCCCATTTTGCTGCGGAGAGTCCGGAAGCTTGAAGGTCTGGCGGATTCCTCGCGCACGACAGTAGGCTTGCAGGAGGCCAGAGGAGAACTCTCCGCCTCGGTCAGAGTGCAGACGCAGAACAGGAAAGTCCGAGCCGAAGCTCCTCCTGAGCTGGAGACGAGCTGCGCGGATCCAGTCGATCAACACCTCAGCGACATCACCCTTGCTGCGCAAGGGGAAGACTGTGGTTTAACGCGAATAGTCGTCAACCACCAGCAGGAAGTAGCGCTCGTGACCCTGTCCACGAACGCCGGCCGGGCCCCACACGTCCATATGATGCGTTTGCAGCGAGGCCTATGTCGGGGGAAACTGAGAGGAGTGAGGGGCTGCTCGGAGCCGCCCTTCGACACAGGGGACACAGGAAGGACCAGGCCCCGGAGGAAGGGGAGGGAGGGACCGGGGAAGACCAGAGACAAGGACACGGGAAGCCATGCCTCGGAGACGAGGCAGGGAGGGGTGACCAAGACGGTGGTGCCAGAGGAGAGTCTCGTGAGACAGGAGGCGACACGAGCAGGTGGCAGACTCAGGACAAGACCTGGACGCTGCAGCAAACACCTGACCCGACTCAGCTACCTGACCAGACGCAGTGACTGGAGGAGACTCAGTAGTCAGTGTGTACAGGCTCGACCCCGGCCGACGTGTAAACGTGGCCAGGTGTCGGCCTGTCCGAGCGTCCGTGCAGTGGGTCACCCGCTGACTCGCAGGAGTGAACTGGTGAACCCCCGTATCCTGCAGGTCAGCACCACTCACCAAGTTTGTAGAGAACGAGGGGAGGTAAAGACCAGACAAGGTGCCAAAGGGGGCAGCCGGACACGGGAGGACAGTGGAGAAGTGAGAGAGGACAGGACCCCCAAAGGGGTCTGCCAGGGAGACTGCAACTGGCCGACCAAGCGGCGTGAGTGTGGTGCGGTCTCGAAAGAAGGAGCGAGAAGCCCCCGAGTCAAGTGTGAAGGAGAGGGAGGCCGAAGTTGACGTGGTACCTGAGAGCGCAGACTCACCAGCACCTGAGGGCGTGGACGCACTGGCACCTAGAGCAGCAGCCTCACCAGTACCTAGAGCAGCAGTACCAATGCCCGGGTCGGGCGGGAAACACCGGTAACAATCACCCTCATCACTAATAGTCACAGCATACATGGCAGCAACGATTGCATCAAAGTCAAGATCAAAGATAGCTACGCCTGCCCTAGACAGCTCTCCCCAGCGGGGGATCTCACTAGCCTCCGGGAACTGCTGACGCCAAGCGTCCATCAGGCGGCCAAAGCAGCGCTGGGTGGGGTGAGCACCCCCACACTGCTCACCCGTGCGGTCACCGGAGCGGAGGACGTAGGCGCACGGGCCAAAACCCCCACCACGCTGACGCTGCGTGTACCACTCACGGAGCTGCTGAGGAGGGGGGATGTCCCGAGAACGCTGCTGCTTCTGCTGCTGCTGGCGCTGACCACTCCCGGAGCCGCTCCGCTGAGAAGTACCACCTCGACCAGCTCCACCTCCTCCACCACCGCCGCCTCCACCTCCGCCGCCACCGCCGCCTCCGCTCCCACCGCTACCGCCACCGCCGCCTCCGCCTCCGCCGCTGCCACCGCCACCTCCACCCCCGGCACCACTCCCACCGCCACCCCCACTCCCTCCGCCGCCTCCACCGCCACCTCCACCACCCCCGCTAGCTCCACCCGCGCCCTTGCCCCCCTTGCCCTTGCCAGAGCGGCGTCTCCCGCTAGGGGCAGACGCCACACCGACCGACACAAGACCAAGTAGGTCGGCCGCAGCAGCAGAGGCGACAGAGGGCAGCAGGGGGGAAGGGGAACACCCCTCAAAGATGGGGGTGCGAGGGTCACCACGAGAGGCTCCTACAGCGACTATGCTCTTCTCCGCTGCTAGGAGGGCCTTCTCTAGGAGGTCAACGGTGAGAGTGGTGGGACAGACTGAGAGAAAGTGGTCCCTGACTACGCGGAGGGAGTCAGGGAGGCGGGTGACTATGTAATAGAGAGTGATGTACATGGGGGGGGGGGGGTTCTTGGCGCAGAACTCAGCAGGCAGCGCGGCGCGGTAGCGAGTGTCACTAGTGCGGAGGTGCGTAATGAGGTGAGGTGCGTAATGAGGTCAGCAACTGTGGGAAATGCAGCAAGGTCAGGGAAGAGGTACGGTAGCATGAGGCGGCTCAGTGCAGCAGTGGCAGGGGAAGAGTAGCGCGCAACTACAGCGTTGTACAAGGTCTGAGCACTCTTGTACTGACTAAAGTGCGCGCGCTCAGTGGTAGGCAGGTGGCGACGCACAGCAAGACGTGCAGCAGCATCGCGGGTGGCCCACTGAGAGCGAACAGTGGGGTCAGCATCAGCAGCAGGTGCAGGAGAGGCGCCAGATGTGAGGTCAAAGAGAGAAAGACCGTCCGCCCTATCGCACTGTAAGAACAGCTGCAGGTCGTCGACCCAGACCTCAAAGTCAATGGCTCGACCCTCAGCGTCAAAAGCGAGGACACTAGGGGTAGCCATGACGACGGTAGACTAGCAGTGCAAGCAGTAGGGGAAGGGCACGCAGTGACAGAGAGGTTGTGCTCACCGGACAGGGCTGCTCGGGCGGCGGGGCCGCTGAAGCAGGGCGGCGGGGCCGCGAAGTGGGGCTGCGGGGCCGCGAAGTGGGGCGGTGGGGCCGCTGAACAGGGTGGCGGGGCCGCGACGTAGAGCGGCGGGGCCGCGAAGTAGGGCGGCGGGGCCGCAGGAGTAGGGCGGCGAGGCCGCAGTTAGGGCGGCGGGGTCGCGACGTAGGGCAGCGGGGCCGCGAATGCGGGTGGCGGGGCCACGCTAGTAGGTGGCGGGGCCGCACGAACGGGTGACGGGGCCGCTAAGGTAGGGAGGGCCGCTAGGGCATAGGGGCCGCTAGGGCGGCTCGACGAGGTGAGAGCGCGACTCGGGCGGAGTGCGCTTCGGGCAGGAAAAAAATTCGAAATTTGGTGGGCCCTAGGCACAGTTCCCACATGGGAACCTGCTCGATACCATGAGAAAATGAGAACGAGAATGAATGACTAAGGAATGAAAGTGATACAAGTATGCAACCCTAGCATTGTGTACCCCATATAGGCTACCCCACTACAGCCTACACAACATTATAATTAGACAGTTTTGTACCAACTTAATGCGTAAGTAACAGACTTACTATTGATACCAACCATATGGGTAAATGACATTCCAACTCTTGGATAAATATAGCATATTTATGTTGTACCAACCATATGGGTAAATAATACCCTTTATTCTGGTTCCAACCATATGGGTGAGGAACGCACCCCCTCGTCGTAATAACCATGTGGGTGAAGAACAGATTTTCTTTCGTACCAACCATATCGGTAAGTAATGTATGTACTTATGGTAACAATGTATGGGTATGTAACGTATTGTTTCTTCGTACCAACTATATGGGTAAATAATGCACCTCCTCATGGTACCAAACATATTGCTACGTAGTGCACATTCTTTTGCTAAGTAAAGCATTCTCTCTTCGTACCAACCATACGGGTAAGTTACGCACCTACTCTTGGTACCACCCATATGGGTAAGTAACGCCCATTTTTTGTACCAACCATATGGGTAAGTAATGGACTTACTATTGATACCAACCATATGGGTAAGCAATGTCAGAATGTTATAATTGTATAGCCTGTAGTGGGGTACTCTATAGCGAGTACAACCCAATTAGGGTTCCCTATATGTATGCCAACTGCTGCTAGTGCAACCTCTCCCTCTTCTTCATTCCTCATTCTTCACAAGCAATGCACTACCTTATGGTACCAACTATATTGGTAAGTAGCGCACTTACTCTTCGTACCAACCATTGGGTAAGTAACGCATGTTTTTTTTTTTTTTTTCGTACCATCCATATGGGCAAGTAACACACTTCCTCTAGGTACCAACCATCTACTTAAGTAACGTACTTTCTCTTCGTACCAACCATATGGGTAAAGAACATACGTATGTTTGGATTCAACCATTTGGGTAAGTAACGTATACACTCTTCGTACCAACCAAATAGATAAGTAATGCACGCAATCTTCGTACCAACTATATGTGAACGTAGCGCTCGTTTTCTTCGTATGAACCGTATGGGTAAGTATTTGCTCCCAAAAGCATGGAAAAGTAACCCACTTGCTCTTAGTACCAACCAAATGGATAAGTAATGCACATACTATTGGTACCAACCATGTGAGTAAATAAAGCACTTTCTCTTCGTACCAACCATATTGGTAAGTAACACACAATCTCTTGGTACCAAATAATTAGGTAAATAACGCACTTAAATTTAGTACCAACCATATCGGTAAGTAATGCACTTACTCTTCGGGTTAACTATATGGGTAAGTAACGTATGCGCTTTTTCATACCGATCATATTACGTACGTACCCTTGGTATCAACCGTATTCGTAATTAACGCACTTATTTTTTGTACCAACTATATGGTTAAGTAACGCACTATATTTTCGTACCAACCATATTGGTAGGTAACGCACTTCTTTTTCACACCAACCATAATGATTACTAAAGCACTAACTCTACATACCAACCATATGGGTAAGTAACGCACGAACTGATCGTACTAACTATATTCGTAAGTGACGCACTTACTCTTGGTACCGACCATATGGGTAAGTAACGCACTTACTCTTTCTACCAACCATATAAGTAAGTAATGCACTTTTTTGTCGTACCAACCATGTTCATAAGTAACGAACTTACTCTTGGTACCAGCTATCTACATAAGTAACTCACATCCTCTTCATACCAACCATATGAGTAAACAACGCACTTAATCTTGGTACCAACCATAACTATATAGGTAATACACTTACTCTTCGTACCAACCATTTGTGTATCTAACGCCCTTATTCATAATACCATTCATATGGGTAAATAAATACCACACTTACTCTTCGTACAAACCGTATGAGTAAGTAGCGCACATACTATTAGTACCAAATATTTGGAAAAATAACGCACTTACTTTTGGTTCCAACCATATTGTGAGGATCTAGGATCGAGCTCAGAAAAGAGAATGTGAATTGAATGATCCACCTGGGTACAAGGCGAGGCTATATATAGGCTCGACACAAGGCAGGTAACCCAGGTGTTACGCGAATGTTCTGACGGTCACGAAGCGTCCCGAAAAGAACCTTCCTGAACTCAGTAGAAAGCAATTTCGGTAGGAACCGAAAAGGCTTGAGTTCAGTACACGTCACCTGGTTCGGTGCTATAAATATAATAACATATAGGAATGCACCTAGCCTAGGAAATCAAGCATATCTATGCATGATAAATATATCCCAAGCTAGATATAGCACAATAAAGTCTAGACAAGCTAGCAAAATCAGCATAAGCCGTCGTACTCTCACACGTCCCCCCCTCAAAGCTGGGTGGCATGAGAAACATCCTGCTTGACAAGATAGTCCTTGAGAGCACGGCGTGCATTGCCCATATCCGCTTCTGCAACCCAACTGTCCTCAATGGGGTCGTATCCCTTCCAGCGTATCAGGAACTCGAGGGTCTTGCCGCTGCGGCGTCAATGAGTGAGAATGCGCTCGATCTCGTACTCGGGTTCATCTTGTATGAAAACAGGTGGTGGTGGCGGTAGCTGCCGTCCCTGGAACTATTGGTTGGGGTCCTTGTAGGGCTTTAGTAGCTGGACATGGAAAGCATTGTGAAGCTTCCATGTATCTGGTAAGCGCCTGTGCCTCAACGAGAAAAGGACCACAGAAGCGAGGCCGGAGTTTGGATGGGAGGTGAGACAGGTTCAAGTTGCGCTTGTCGAGAAGCACCTGATCTCCGACTGCTACTGAGTGATATCGTTGCTCTCGATCAGCATACTGCTTCTGGGAGGTCTGCATCGTCCCTGAGTCTTCTCCCATAGTTGTTGCATGGTGGTGACGAAGTCATGTGCGGCTTTGACGTGTGCCGGTGTAGTTGGGTGTTGTGGTGTAAATGGTTCGCGTCCGTAACACAGGAAGAAAGGAGTTTTCCCTGTGGCCGCATGTGACGCATTGTTGTAAGCGAACTCATGCGACAGTCAGTAACTGTGTGTCCCAATGGCTGACGTCGTCTTTGCAAGCTGTGCGCAGTAACTGTTCAACCACCTGATTGAGTCGCTCTGTCTGTCCGTCAGTCTGGGGGTGGTATGCTGAAGACACTGCAAGCTTTGTCCCCAACAATCCCATGAGCTCCTTCCAGAACTTACTCGTGAATTTTGAGTCTCCGTCTGAGATGAGTGTAGCAGGGATGCCGTGGATGGTGATGATACAGCTGTAGCTGTGGCGTTGGTCGATATGAAGTGACCCATTTTGGAGAACTTATCGATGACTACGAGGATGGAATCATGCCCCCGCGAGGTCGAAGGAAGTCCCGTGATGAAGTCGAGGCTAACGACCTGCCATGGCTGCTCCGCTATGGGTAGAGGCTGAAGTAACCCTGCTTTTTTTCTGCTTGCTGCTCTTCATCCGCTGGCATGTGTCGCAAGAGGTGACGAACTGCTGCACGTCTGCTGCCATCCCGGGCCAGTAATAATACTTTGCTATTCCCACGAACGTCTTGTTGCTCCCGAAATGTCCCGCGTAAGGTACGTCGTGAAACTCCTCCACTAGGATCTGCCGTAGCGGGGCGTAATCGGTACCCAAATCTTTCTTGAACCCTTCTTTACAGCTAAGTGTTTCTCCCACTGTAACTGGTTCTTGGTCTGTGCTGTAGCGATCTCTGCGTGCACGGAGTATCCATGTTGGAATAGACTCTTGAGCAGAGGGTTCATCCCGTCGAGCTGGATGCCTGCTATATGACCGGGGCGGCTCAACGCGGCTGCCTTGTTGTGTAGCCCATGCTTGTAGACGATGTCGTAGTGGAAGTGAGTTTCCAGGAAGTCCACCCACCGCACCTGTCGTCGTGAGAGTGTCGGCTGTGACTTCAGGTATTTGAGACTGCAGTGGTCAGTATAGACTGTGGTCTTAGCTCCCTCTAGGTAACACCTCCACGCCATGAAGGCTATGACTATCGCTAAGGCTTCTTTGTCATGGATGGGGTCGTTCAGTTTTGCTCCGTGTAGCTTCTTAATGAGGTAGGCGATGGGCTGCAAACCGCGTCCGTGATCCTGCATCAGCACTGCTCCAACTGCCTAGTCACCAGCGTCTGCTTCCACCACGTAGTCCTTGTCTGGATCTGGTAGGATGAGTACCGGCGCTGTAGTCAGTGCTGTCTGTAGCTTCTCCATGGCTTGCCGATGAGGAGTATCCCATTTGTAGGGCTTATCCTTTTTCCGTAGGTCGGTCAGTAGCGCTGCTATCTTAGCATACTGCGGCACGAACCTGTTGTAGTAGTTGGCGAAGCCTAGGAACTGCTGCAACTCCTTCACGTTCTCCGGTACTTTCCACTTCTTGACGGCTTCGATCTTCCGCGGGTCCACGTGTACGCCCTCGGCACTCACGATGTGCCCGAGAAACTGCACCTTTTTCAGTGCAAAGTC